GTGGGCTAGCGGGTGCGTGGGTGTGAGCCAAAACGGGATCGTTTTCGACCCGTTTATATATCAAGCGCAAAAACATTATTCGTGTTTGGCTCGTTAACTTAACAAATAAATCCAACACTGGCTTCTTAACGAGTCGAACACGAACTGTTCATGAACAACGAGCCATTTTGACATCCCTAGTTTTCTCTCCATGAGGTTGCAGATTTGAATCTCGCACATTACCTTTTGAGCTCACTTTTCCGGAAAAAGAAAATACTGAATAACAAAATTATCATAATAAATTTAGACTGAACTTTTTAAACAAATCATACCCCAGATGGCTTGAAAATCATCAACAAAAATACAACAATGAATATTTTGTATGAACACACTATAAATTCCCCTACAACATAATTTAAACAACAAAAACTACCTGTTCCGATAGAAAAAAAGATTTGCGCTTTCAAGTTGCTTTGGATGACCGAGTAGCACTAATTTGCAGCATAAATTTGCAATAAATTCTTTAATTTTCCCTGAGAATATTGGGCTGTTCGTCCCAGAACCTGTCATCAATAATGTTGAAGTGTCCCACAGTCACCCTTTGTCTTTGTCTTTTGACAGGATTTCCACCATTATCCGGTTTCAACGTCTCCTCAACCTGCGATTCAACTTTCTTAAGATTTGTTAACAGTAAAATCTATGAAATACAGAGAAGAGTCAGAGATTTTAAGAAAAAGGAAGATTTATACTCATACCACACCAAACTTATGCATTTATATATATAACATCGAAACTTTAATAGGGCATTTACATACATACCAACCAATTCCTCTGTATTTACATATCTAACTTCTAAATCTAGCTATTTACATTTATACCACTTAAATATTTCATACCAAATCAAAAATACCACTATTTGAACTTTTAAAAAGCGATACACATTTTCATTCATAGATAAGATGGCATAAAGGTAAAAATTGAAGTACAAGTGTTAGACATGTAAATACAAAAGAATTGAGTGGTATGCATGATCTTCCTTTAAATTTTACTTGTATAACATCCAAATCTTTAAACCACATTAAAAATACCACAACTATGAGATTCTTAAAGTGTAATTTACTTCTTGTATATGTTCTAATGTCATTGAAACCCTGGAAGTGATACAGATGTAAATATCAAATTTTAGAGGCCTACATATATAAGAATTGTAGGGTATGTATGTAAATCTCCACTGCAAAACATGAGAATAGGAAGTTTTACTGTATCTTTATAGACGCATGATCCTTTCTTGAAGATATCAGGCAGCTTATCATAATTGATACCAAATTGCTGGAAGAGCAACTCATTTTTGTCCTTTGCAAGAGTGCCCTGGAAAAGTAACAGCCATGTTTTAAATGTGCAAGAGAAACCATTATATGTTAGAAAAAGACAGAATTTAATATAAATATTAATAAATAAACCAAAAATTAAAAAATTGGTTTGCGTAGATGGATTATGCCAAAAAAATTGGATACACTTTACAGCATTCATTTTAAATAATATCTATTTAAAATTCCTACAAACGTCACACTAGTTTTTGAAGAAAATGATCAAAATTATATGGAAAAATTTTCCTCAACACAAACCATTAAATTCATCATTAGCCTTATCACAGCTATTTAAGGTCAGCATCATGAATCCTTATTTTTCAATTATTGAGCATTGTCTAAGATGCTAAACCAATTTTTTGCAAATCATTGTAAATAATATCTATCCATGCAATCTTAAGTTTATCCCATTTTTTTTCTCTCAAACAGAAGTTACATAACTCGTTTAGTTTGCATATTTTCTATCCTTTGTAGCAAGCATTCAAAACATTTAAGCCTATTTTCAAAAAAATTTTCTTTAATAAATATCACTCTCCAATAGTTACCTATAAATATGGATAAGGCACAACATGATCTTCTAAACTCAGAAAAGAAACTACAGAACCTATAATAATATCAAAGGTAAAGAAATTCATGGTGAAGATTAGACCATTGATTTGAAGGCGAAAAAAGTAAAATTTATATAAAAACCACACAATTCCAATGTATTTATATATATAACACACCTACAATTTGATATTTACATTTATAACACATAGGTGTCATAACCTATGCATGAAAAATATGCATCACTTTCAAAAATTAAGTAATAGGGGTATGTTTGATGCAATGTTAAAGATATGAGTGTTATGCTCATAAATATGAAAATTTAGGTGTTAGATATGTAAATAATTAAAAGTCGTGTTGTATGTATGTAAATGTCCCCCCAAAAAAAATCCGCTAAGTTAACAATGTGCACTTGTGCAGCACCTTCAAACGCTCCTGTGCTTCCTTCTTCGTTTTCCCAGATTTTACAAGCATCCAGAAACAGGTGTTGTATTGATTGTTAATGTGGCCTAAAAGACGAAAATAAACACAAACGAGCAATCAAGTTTTATAAAAAGAAAAAAGAAAAAGGTAAATTCATCAAAGCATGAAAATAATAAAGGCAGCACTAAAAATAAACTAAAATTTTTTCGCCTTATATGTAAAAAGATGCATTAGATTATCTCCAATACTTACAATCAACTTGCCTCCAAGAGAGATAGTCCCTAACAATCTTTGCTCTCGGGTACAGTACAATCCTTCCATCAAAACAAGGCGTTTCCTTCAAGCCTTTGTGGGGAAAGAAATCTTTCCATTTTATCACATACAAAGAAGTGAAATACGACACAGAGAGAGAAAGTATTTTACTGCAAGTAAATAAAACCAAAAGAAACATATCATCGCACAAAGTGCAATAAATGTACGACTTAAGAAAAAAAATAAAATGAAGATTTACATAACTACTCAGCCTATGTATTTACATATCTAACATAATAACAACTAATTTTCAATTTTTACAGACGTGCCACCTTATGCATGAAATTGTGTATTTCACTTTTTTAAAATTAAAATGGTGATATTTTTTATGTGATATGAAGTGGAATGGAAAGTAATGAATCTATGATTGTATATTAGGATATGTATGTTAGGAAGCTTAATTATAGGTAGCTAGAATATATGAATTCTAATAAATGTCTTTTCTAATCAGTAGAGATTTAATTGCAGGATCATTCCTCTATTAAAGATATTCCTAAATTATAGAAACTAGAGCGTGCATAAATATGCAACATAGCTTTTCAATTGATAATAAGAAAATGAGTTTTTTTTCTTTAACATGGTATCAAAGAGTCACACAGCTGGTCATTGATAGTCTACTCCTCTCGACTTCGTTCCCCGCACAAACAAACAGCTTTGTCTACATTGTTCGAATCTTTCGTATGTATGCCAAAGGCCAACAGTGGGATTCTTCACATCAACATTGTCAAATCTTTCTTCTGTAAGTCTCATCACTTCCCAGAGGCCCACAATTGATTGTCACTTCCTAGATCATCATGTTGACATCGTCCCATGGTTTGGCTTCATTCTACGACGTCTGTCGTAGCTTCGAGTGCGGTCATCCATTGCGAATGGTCAACTCCTGTGGTGTCGTTCATCGAGCTAGTTTTTCTTCGATGATTCGACTTATTGGTTTGACTGAAACAAACGACAAGAGCACAACATCATTGGGATTAGTTGATTTAGTCTCTTTGAAGATTTGGTAATAATCAAGGCTAGAGAACAAATTTGTATTGTGAAGTTTGGTTTCATCAGTGGCTAAAATTTCTGATGAAAAGTTAAACGTCAATTATTTTTATTGGAATAAAAATGCGAGAAAAAAGTATATCTAAAATCTTGATGTAGGTAATGAGTTGTATCAAGCTAAACAACGTATCAATCACTTAACATTTATCACATGCAATTTAAATGTTTATGAAGAATTAAATGCACAATTGCCCTTCAATCTTGATGTCCGAATACAACAAGCTCGGAGAGAACAAATGACTATTATGAGTTTTCTAGTTGGCCTCAAATCACAATATGAAAGATCAAATCATAGACTGACCCTAGAATTACTGCACTGAGGAAGATTATATACTAGAGTGTTCGTGCTATTCCAAACTCTCGGACTTTAACTGTATAACAACTTAGTGCTTTTGTTAGCCAAGAAAATATTGCATCACCAAACCTTAATCTCAGGGTAATTATAAAACTGTAACTCTAAATTCTATAAATCAAGGCTCAAAGATAGTTTGCTACTACTACCATGAACCTAATCATACAAAGAGAACGTATTAGAAGTTGTTCAAAAAGAATCAAAAGAATTTTATATCACAATCATCTCAAATATATAATCACTACTATTGAGGCCACTCAAAGTTAAACTCTATCGATTTTTGCAAATGAATATGCTAAAATTATCTAATTTCAAGAAGCATTCAAGAAATCACCCTCTGTCACTACTCTTGCTGAGTTAGGTAACAATGATATTTATTTTCTTCCTCTTTCACACAATATGTCATTGATTGTAGTGTTACATATCACATGAAAGGTAATCTAAAACTATTTTTCACTTTTCATAAAAATCTTTCTTCTGTCGCCATAACAAATGGATCTATCTCTACTGTTCTTGGTTCTAACACCATCAATGCTACACCTATATTGTCTTTAATTTTTGTCCTTAGGTTTCTAAATTGAACCCAATCATTAAGACGTGTTATTCTAGAATACTCCTTCGCAAAAAAGGTATCAATGATTTTCCCCTCTTAAACAAGTGCATGACTTCTATTGATGCCAACTTTCATGAATAAATCACATTCTTTGGTGACTCATTGTTGCCCAAATCCTCACATGATTCTAATGAGTTGTTAATATATCACATCATTTGTTTAGATGTTGCTCCAACTCCACCTCCATCACTAGTACCTCAACTTAGAACAACTATCACTAAAATTCACTCTAGAATACCTAATCCCTCAGATCCTAGTCCAACCCCAATATCAACTTCTTCAATAGATCCTCCTTCTAGTGACCTTGATTTACTTATGTCTCTTCAGAGAGATAAACGTCAATGCACATATCCCATTTTCTCTTATGTTAACTATAGACAGTTATCTTCTACTTCTTGTTTTTTTAATACTTCTTTTGAATCCGATTAGGTCTCGAAATCTGTTCAACAAGCTCTATTCCATTGTAGATGGTGGGCAGTGATGCTTGACAAAATGAATGTTTTGACTTAAAATAGAACTTGTGAACTAGTTAAACTCCCATATAGCAAGAAGATTGTTGGTCATAAATGGATCTTTGTAGTTAAGTTTCATCTTAATGGACATGTAGTTCATATTAAAACTCAGTTGATTAGTAATGACTATGCTCAAACTTATGAGATTAACTTCTTAAACATGTTACCTCTGGTAACTAAGTTGACTTCAGTTCCTCCCAATTTTGTCCTTAACTGTAATGAATAATTTGTCCTTACACTAGCTTGACGTACAAAATATCTTTAAGCATGGTGATCTTTTTAGAAGAAGTAAATGGAGCAACCTCTTGGGTTTGTTGCACAGGGAGAGTCCAGGAAAATAAATCGTCTTCTGAAATCATTATACGGATTGAAGCAAAATTCTTGGGCATGAAATAGAGTTTAGGATGAAAAAAAGCAAAAATGATTACATTGTATTCTACAAGCAATATGCTTTTGGGATCATTCTATTGATGCTTTATGTTGATGATATTATTATTACAAGAAGTGGAGTATAGTGAATCCTATCATTAAAATCATTTATTCAAAATCAGCTCATCACTAAAGATCTGTGTTTTTTGAAATACTTCTTGGGGATTGAGGTATCAAAGAGCAAGAATCGCATCTTTTTATTTCAACGGAAGTATGTATTAGATTTGTCAGCAGAAACTGAAAAAATAAGGGTCAAACCATGGAATACTCTAATGCTTCATAATCAGCAACTTACAATCCTAAACAATAAAGAAAGTAGAAAAATTAAACTGTCTCACAGTGACTCGCCCCGACATTGCTTATTCAATTAACATTATAAATCAATTCATATCCCCCCCCCCCCTGTCCTATCACACTAACAATT